CTTTGAACATCGAATTCGCAGGTTCGATCCCTGCTGAAGTCTAGAAAAAGAAGTCTGATGAGGAGATGTGGTGATCTCCGAAATAGTGCTATAACTTCTACCGCTTAGACTTTGTTGCTTTTTCAATTTTTCCTAATAAACAATCGTGGTACAAAGCTCAATAAAAATATTAAAAATAAAATGTTAACAAGCCACAATAACATTGACAAATACATAGTTTAGGAAGAGCCTGCCTGAAACTATACAAAAAAGCAAATAAGCAAATGGATGTATAGAATTGACAACAACAACCACGCTAAATCAGCAAATCAGCGGCAAATCAGCTGCAATTGATAGTAGTTGGTTCAATAAGGAAAATGAATTAGCAACAAGAGTTTACGGGATGTACATAGCTCAGTGGTTAACGCTTCTGACTTTGAACATCGAATTCGCAGGTTCGATCCCTGCTGAAGTCTAGAAAAAGAAGTCTGATGAGGAGATGTGGTGATCTCCGAAATAGTGCTATAACTTCTACCGCTGAGACTTTGTTGCTTTTTCAATTTTTCCTAATAAACAATCGTGGTACAAAGCTCAATAAAAATATTAAAAATAAAATCTTAACAAGCCACAATAACATTGACAATTAATACTATAGTTTGATCGGAGTTAATATATTCTTCAGTAATGAATTATATTATACTAAAACATAAGCTTATGAGAAATTACTTAGTCTTAACATGCATATTTCATATCGTGTTCCAAAATTCGCTCCGAGTGCGTTCACTATTGATCTTTTGATTCAAATATTGTTTGTCAAGCATTCAGTAGTGACGCTTGATCGGAGTTTATATATTATTCAGTAATTAATCATATTAAATTGAAATATAAACGTATAATACGGTAGAAAGTTAGAAATTATTTGGTGTTAATATGCATAATTCGCTCCATGTTCCAAAATTCGCCCCGAGTGCGTTCACTATTGATCATTTGATTTAAATAATTGTCTCTCAAGCATTCAGTACTATAGTTTGATCGTAAACTATATATTCTTAAGTAATTGATCACATTTTATTAAAATATAAACGTTTAATAGGGTAGAAAGTTAGAAATAATTTACTNTACTATAGTTTGATCGTAAACTATATATTCTTAAGTAATTGATCACATTTTATTAAAATATAAACGTTTAATAGGGTAGAAATTGTGAAATTATTTAGCTTGAGCATGTATAGTCGGCCAGAGGCAATTGCAGAAAACTGCAACTACTCGAGAAAACTTACAATAAAAGCAATGTAGATGAAAGTACTAAATATTATGACTAAAACTAGATCCATATATAAAATATTTTACATCATTTATTTGAAGTAAATCGGAATATATTTTTACATATAAGATAGTTTCCATTTAACTCATAAAGTACATATTTCACTATAAATAGTTTTAAGATCATTTCGAATTGCAAAAATAGCGCTAATTAGTTGTATTGAAGTATAAAACATTTTATTGCGGTCATATTTACTTATAAAGCGCACAACAATATTTCTCTCGCCATCTATCCGATGTTAAAATTTTCACCACATTATTTTGCTGCACGGCACCCTGAGTGCGGCAAAACAGTTGCTGGCAACCCTCAAGTCCTTTATGGGGACCAAATTAACAGCCACAACAACAAAAACCTTTTCTACTGGTATACTGTGCAAGTAAATACGAGTATGTACTCGATACTTTTGTTTCCATACCAACTACCTTTTTTACTCGAATCGTTGTTCCGATACCTACTTGGTATCGAAAGAAAAGTACTTGTATTCAATCGTTTTGAGCAAGTGCCATATCTCGTCGGCCATATTTTTGCAACGATTTTATCAACTTGCAATGTTGTGGGTCCATCAACTTTCAATGTTGTGTGTCCAAACACAATAAAACCTTTGCTTTGCAAAGTTCTTATAAAAAAGCATAGTGCAGTGGTGCACTATGTACGCTACAGCGTAAATGGACGACAAGCCATTTCCTTAAATCAGCGTTGGGCAGAGAGAGCTTTTACTCTGTTCGCAAACAGAACAAAATTTATAGAAAGCTTAAAAGAGCTTTGCCCGCGGCCAAGGCAGTACCTATTAGTGTTTTAAATGAAATAAATTGGTGCTTGTATGTATGTACATACATATGCATATCGTCGTTTAAAGTGCAAAACCGCGTATCAACAAAATGCAAAAGCGCGTATCAGCAAAATGCAAAACCACGTATGTGAAGTTGTAGAAATCATTTTCTAGAGTGTAAAATCAAAATGGTTCTCTTTTTTATAAAACAATAGCATTTTTGGCTAGTATATTTTAGGACGATTGTATAAGGATTGAGCCAAGAGCTTGTGTGAGCAAATCCAATTTTTGGCAGCCAATGTCAGTTACGCGGTTTTGCAGAATGACGATACGCGGTTTTTTAGTTTAAACGACGATATGCATGTATGTGCATCAATCTATAAATAGTTGCGTTCCTTATCTCCCAGAAATAGTCAGAAACTTTTCGAAGTAGTCAGATTTAGTCCTAAGAGCGTTCTTCAACTCGAAAATGACAGCAAAAATGAGAGAGCAACACTCTATTCGGCCCGAAGTAGTCAGATTTAGTCAGAAGAATTTTTGCAGGCAAAATCTTGAAAAATGTCAAACTCAACTGAATTTAAATTGAGGGAAATTAAAGAATACGCAAAAAGTGAGAATAATCTAAAAAATAAAAAAGTGAATTGAAATTGGGAGGCAAAAAATAATTGATAGAGTAAGTGTTTATCGTGCTTGTGCTTGTGTGAATGTGTTTTGTACATACATTTCTATTGTTATTTGACGTTAGTTTTATTGTTGCCATTGTTTGGACTAAAAATTTGGTTTTTTTGTTCCTTTACTTTTTCCTGTTATTCTGTTTTAGTGAGCGCATTTTGCTTACGTTGTGGCATTTTGACACTTTTCAGATTTTAGTCCAAAAAGATAAGGAATGAACCTAATATCATTGAATTATTTTAATATCTATTGCAAAATGTTATACAGACAAGACTAACAAGTAGAAAATAAATAAAATAAAAAACCTTTTAATATGCGTGGTTTTATAAATGGACTAAAAAGTAGCTTTTGATTTTGAGATTTTAGCAAAAGTCATTATAAACAATTTATGAGATTGAAAATGAAAAGCGTGGGGCGTATGCATGTATGTAATACTCTTATATTGGCAGTAACTGTACGTCTATACCTGCTATGGGCGCTCGCATACGAAACATCGTAAGAGATATATCCAGGTGTAGACCATTCATCGCAGAAAGTATACGATATAAAGTAAGAGATATTTCGTACCATCTATAGCATGCGACGAACTGTCAAATTCAGGGTTTGACTTGACAGCTACATCGTCAAATTTAGTTTGAATTCTAGGAATAGAGAAATAGTGGGATTCGTGGAAAAGCAAAACAACCGTATTCGGATACAACACAAAGCATTGGTAAGTAATGTTATTTTTCCTATATACAGCGTTTAAATTACATATATATATGTGTAGTAAATATATTATAGAATACAGGAGGAGCATCCGAAGTCTTCGAAGATTTTCTACTTGTAATAATAGAGTGGAATATGTCCGATACCATTAAATTGATAAACTTTTACAAGCAATTTGAGTGCCTTTGGAACTATAAAAGTGCACAATATAAGCGTATAGACCTAAAAAGAAACGCGTGGATTCAGATTTCCAACGAGTTTGCAAGGGACACTGAGGAAGTGAAACGCAAAATTAAGCATGTGCGGAATGCGTATGTTGCAGAAAAAAGGCCATTTGACAAAGCAAACAAATCTGGATCATCGGCAGCAATCTTGTATGAGCCACATTTGGACTACTACAACGAAATGAGCTTTTTAGACTCAGTAATAGTTTTGAGAAAACCCGAAAGCAAGTTGGTTAGTTGAGTTCAAATTACACCATACATTCTTCTTATTTGTATTCTTGTATTACCTTTTTTACGGGATATTGTAGAACCGAGGTGCGAACCAGTGAAGAATAATGATTTGGAAGCAACATTAGTTGATGAGGAATGCAAAGGGCAAGAGCAACAAATATCCGCTACAAACATTCCAGCAAACCTTGCGTCATCTCGATATCCGACTCAATCCCCTACTAATTCATTCGCATCATCTACCCCATCTATATTGTCGACACGTCGTCGTCGTCGGGCGACTGGAACGGAGTGCGACAGGAACAGAGTGTTCAACAAAGCGATCCAAGATATAGTCTCATCTGCTGCAATCACAGAGCCGGAAAATAAATTTACTTCATTTGGAAAGACAATTGCACTCCAACTGCAGCAATTGTCACTGTCTACAGCAACGGTGACCATGTCAAAAATACATTAAATGGTGTCAGAGGCTTTGGTACAGTATTTGGAACCCTCCCATGTGCAAAGAAATTCAGACATATTGCAAGCTGCATTAGATGACGCAGATATATATATCAAGAATTAGATGTTTATGTTAGGGCTTGCCGGTACCGCCTAATCGGAAAAGCATCAATATAAAGCATCAGCCCCTTTTATTTCTAATCTAAAATTAATTGTAAGTTCCAATTCGGTATTTAACAGTGGTTGCGCATATTCGACATTTTATTAATTATAATTTAGAAATAAAAGAGACGGATGCCTTGTATTGAGACATTACCGAATATGTTGGTAATCTTTGGAAGCAAATTGTATTACTTACCCTGTCCCAGTACCCGTCAAATTTACAAAATTCAGTCAGAAGGCTCCCATACATAAATAGGTCGATCTTCCACTCAGCCGTCCATATGTGTATGTATGTATATACATATACAGTCATGTGAAAAATATTAGGGACATGATGTTTTGACCAGTTTTGGCGATTTTTCTTTTGTCTATTTAATGTTTATTATTTGTTTATAAAAATACAGTTCACTATCGAATAAAAACCATATACAAATGTAAGTGCAAATTTCAAACTTTGTAGAAAAATTATAAAATGTCAACAAAATTTTACCACTAACTTTGCTAAGAATTTTGAGGAAAAAATCTAAGTATGCAATTTTATAGCCCATTAAATTCTAGCTTAAGAAAGTGCATGTTTCAAGTGGCTAGGAAATCGCCTTAATTTTTGACATTTTTTTGGAGGAGGGTATTATTATTTACTTCCACACAAAAAAAAATTTCGAATATACTTTGCGTAGAAGAAAATGTGTGATACCCTCAAGAAAAAATTATCAAAAATCAACGCGATTTCCTAGCCACTTGAAGCTTGCGCTTTCTTTAGCTAGAATTTAATGGACTATAAAATTGCATTCTTAGAATTTTCTTAGCAAAAACTTTGTGGTAAAATTTTTTTGAATTTTTATAATTCTTCTACAAAGTTTGAAATTTGCACTTATGTATATGGTTTTTATTAGATAGTGAACTGTATTTTTATAAACAAATAATACACATTAAACAAATAAAAGAAAAATCGCCAAAACAGATCAAAACATCGTGTCCCTATTATTTTTCACGTGACTGTATATGCATCTATGCCCAAAATAGTAGAAATTGCATTGATTTAAATTTTTTTTGACGGTATCACCCATTTTCTTCCGTACAAAGTATGTTCCACAGTTTTTTATATAGAAAGAGCACAGCATCGCCAGTAAAAAAATATAGAAAAATCAACGCGATTTTTATTATTTTGCCCATAGTTGTATCTAAGTAATACATTTTACAAACAATTTTTTTTTATTCTACACATCTTTTCAAAGCACAATAATTTCAATTGCAATGTTAAGTGATAACAAAAGCATCGAAACGATAAACATTTTGTTTTTTATGTGGAGCATAAATGAAGTTTTTGGTTTGAAGGTTTTCTTTTATGAAATATGCTGTCATACTTTCTATAAGTATTTATTTGCTAAGTAATAATTTTTGTTTTATCCAGCCAAAATTCTTTTACCTTGTTTATGTAACTAATAAATAAATGGAAAGCAATTTCTTTTTAGGACCTACATATTTCTGTAGTTTATTTTGACTATGTTTTGCGCTAGCACAATTTATAAGTTATAAAGTTCCCTTATTCGAAAACGAAAGCCACATCAAAGTTTCAAAATCTGCACAGGATTCCAAAACATTCTTTAAATTTTAAAAATTCGTCATTGAAGTTTCAATGAAATTTTTTTGAGTATGCAGTTTTTTAGCCGATTGAGTTTTAGTATAATAAAGTGCAAGTTTCAAGTAGCTAAGGACTACCAAAAATCTCAAAAATTAACGGTAGTCCTTAGCCACTTGAAACTTGCACTTTATTATACTAAAATTCAATGGGCTAAAAAACTGCATACCCAAAAAATTTAATTGAAACTTCGATGACGAGTTTTTAAAATTTAAAGAATGTTTTGGAATCCTGTGCCGAGTTTGAAACTTTGATGTGGTTTTAGTTATCGAATTACGTTAAGGTTTACTAAAAATTTATGAAAAATATTTATAATGAAAAACGTTGTGAATATTGGACCATTTTCACTGTGAGTTACCATATGCGTATTACTTACAAACATACAATTTTAATTTTTAGTTCAATGTATGTTAGTTTAAATAAATTTTGGAATGCAGCCTTAGGTTGAGCATTACGTTTGTTTAACTGTTTGCTTCTTTATCTTTGCCCATTGAATGGGGACATCCCCATCGGTTACACAATATCTTCGGACTCTGTCCCTAATTTGTGATGCGTACTTATATGAATTTTGTTCTTTAGCTGGTAAGGATATCATGGTCTGAGGAAGGCTGCAAGGCTCAGTATCCATGTCTGTAATTGGTGTCTTGGTGGATTTGTTGGTGAAATAATTGTGCAAGATACAACACGATCTGACAACAAGATCACACGTTTTGAGTGATACCTCCATTGGACGATTAAATATTCTGAACCACGATGCAAATCTTCCAAATGACATTTCAACGGTCATTCAGGCTCTACTCAATCTGTAGTTGAATATTTCATCAGAGGTTACTGCTTCGGTTATATTCCTTAAGCATGTGTTGATCAAGCCCGAAAATATTGTCAGCAATAAAAAAAATATGGGGTAGGAACAGGAAAATTCGTATGCTATTATAGCTTTAAATTCACCGGATTGCCAGAATTTGGATAACATAAGTAGATCTCCCTCTATTAGTGCTAAAAGTACTACAGATGGCCAGGCGGAATCAGAATATGGAGTTTCAAAATTTGTTGCCACGTCCATGGTTCCTATCAGTACATTAGAAGTAAATCCAGATTTACAGAAGACGGTAATGACGACGAAGCTTGCTTCTGCTTTAGACGTAGCTAAAGTAAGTGACAGACAAGCTGTTCACATTCTTTCTGCTGCGTGCCAGGCGTTAAATATTAATATTAATGAAATAACTTTAAGTCGCTCCTCGATTCACAGGTTTCGCGAAAAATCTAGAGCTGAATACACCGAAAAAATTCAGCAACATTACAAAGATATTAAAAATTAGATATTCACTGTCCATTGGTATGGAAAGCTACTCCCCTCACTAAAAGAAAATAAGAGAGTAGATAGATTACCAATTATAATAACTTCGAAAGGTAGTGAGATTCTTCTTGGCGTTCCCTACCTCGATTCTGGCACAGGAATTGAGGAATCCGAAGCTGTTTTCGAATGTCTTACTGAATGGGAAGTTGAAAGAAATATAGAGGCTGTTTGTTGTGATACAGAAGCCGTTAATACTGGACCGAAAAACGGTGCTTGCGTTTTGCTTGAGGCTAAGCTTGGTAAATGTTTATTGCATTTTCTCTGTAGGCATCATATTGCTGAACTGTTGTTAAGATCTGCTTTTGAAAGTAAATTCGGTGCTACATCAGGTCCTACTCTAACTTTTTTAAAAACATTCCAAAATGATTGGAATAATTTAAATAAAAAGAATTTTGAGCCTGGAATTACTGATCCTGAAGTATTCATCGCAGTCGAAAATAAAATTGCAGACATTTTAGCTTTCACATCTGAAACATTAGAAGAATCTCACTATAGAGAGGATTATAGAGAATTGCTGGAGTTGACAGCCATATTTCTTAGTGGATCTCCAAAACGAGAAATATTTATTCGCAGAGCTGGAGCTATGCACCAAGCAAGATGGATGTCTAAAGCAATCTATTGCTTAAAGATGTTTCTTTTGCGCAAGGAATTTTCAATGACTCCAGATGATGAAAGATCATGCAAAGAAGTATGTGTTTTTGTAGTTTCAATTTATGTAAAATATTGGTTTAACGCTGCAAGAGCAGATAAAGCTCCTAACCAAGACCTATTGATAATAAAGGAACTGCAAAAATACTCGAAAATAGATTCTGCTATTTCAAAAGCAGCTTTAAACAAAATTCAGAACCATTTATGGTATTTGACTCCAGAAGATGCAGCAATGGCCTTTTTTGATGATGAATTATCTTGTCAAGACAAGAACAAGATAAAAAATGCCCTGTCTAAAAAAATAAAATTTCTAATAACATTAAACGGCTACCTGCAACTACAGTGAAAGATATTGGAAAGAAAAGTATATACCACTTTATAAATAAAGATTCAATGAACTTTTTTTCGCGTTTTAAAATGCAAACTTCTTTTCTAGATCAAGATTCATCAGAATGGTATAAAAATAATGGCCAAAATCAACATTTTTGTATTGTATCACTGCCTACATTCGCACGAACGTAGCAATGCTTTGCTCGCACGGTGGAGAGAATACAGAAGGTGGCGCCGATGGCAATACCGCTAATCGGCTCTCAGTGAATTTGACAGAATCAGCTGTTATGCTGACGTCCCTGTCGAGATAACAGCAGTAGTGATGTGCTGAGTTAATACTTTTAAGTATCCCAATACTCTCGATACTCGGTACCGAAACATCCAGGATTCGAATAAAAGCGCACATAGGCCAAAAATATGGAAAAAACGGTTCAGGAGATACTCGTCTATCACAACCCGAATGTAGGAGCCAATAGAGCTTTTAATACCGATTCAATTAAAAGATGTATATATGTCGGTTCGAGGCCATAATACAGAGAAACTCTTACTTGGTTGAAGCATTTTTGTTCCAGCTGAATCAGGCGATATCATTTTTGTAGGCAGATTCTGTAACCAGTTAGCGACAATTTTCAAATCCGTATCGGTTTTGTTGACGTATGATATGAAATATTTTTACGTCAACAAGTGCGATATCGATACCCCCCTGAAAGGTTTCTTCATCCGTCAAAGTATTTTTCTTGAACCTTGGATCGACTAGGGTTAAAACTGATAAAATAATATTTCTCTGTTGCGATAAGTTCAAGTGTTTTAGCCGATATCATATAAATTAGTAATGAAAGTTTTTTCTAAACTTGAAATGCATATTATGGCGAAGGTTTAATGTAAAGAATCAGTCTCGGGTACCGATAAGGAAGTATTGGGTACCAAAACCTTTTTTAAGTATTGGGTGCCGACAATTCAGCACATCACTAGACAGCAGTTTTATTTGCCGCTCTCAGTCGTCAACTCTACGGTGACGTCACGCCAAAATTACTCTCGCGAATTCTGCTGCAATCGGCGCAATCTTGTATTCTATCATTCTTGCTTTGCTCGATATGAAACAAAAACAGAGACGAAAGAGAATAAATGGAACAATTATTCATTTTCTTTTGTCCCGCTGAGACGCTGCGTATCGAAATAAACTTAGCAATGCTTTGCAAAGTGTAAAGTGGTTCTATGAATCTTAAAAGTTTGTGCAAAGTTTCAGATCGAGCGGTTTAATTTGATGTATAATTTTTATCTGTACGATTTATAGATCGCTGGGAATAAGCTCCTTGTTTTAGAATAATATATAAGTAGCTTACCTGATTAAAGTCTCCAACAAGTTCACAAAACTAATGTGTTTACATCAGTACCCTGAACCTTAGGAGTATTTTATGAAGAGAATTTCAATTGCAGATGCCGGTGTAATCCAAGCGGGAACAGTTACTCGAATTCCCTTCTCTCGTATATGGGTTTCGCCTTCTGCGATCACCTAACTGTCGCCCACTTCGGAAGAGAACTCCGAGCAATCAAGTAAGATCCTCTTAAAAATTTATCAGGGCTATCACTGAATCCGAGTAAACTCGAAAACATCGTTTCTAGATTTGAATGCTAATTCGAAACCAGCTAGTTCAAAGGAAACAATAGGCATTTATGTATGCCGTTTTGCTCACGCAGCCCCAGCAGTCGCGATGGCCGAGCGGGCAAAGCGCTAAACTGCCAATTGAGAGATCCGAGTTGTCGTCGGGCAGCGGAGCTTTTTTTAATTTTTGTTTATTTTATTAATAAATTTTTTGTCAAGTTTAGATTTTGTCCTTTTAAATGGAAAAATATTTTTTTAAATGAATTTTTATGATATTAAAGTAATTAATTAGTTATAATTAATAGTAAATTGTTGAATATTATTTCCTCGCTTCATAAAAAATATTCAGTCTTCAATAAGCGTCTAGCAGATGAATGTATGTATGTACATATTTATGAATGTATCGCATTGGTTTTTGACGTCTACGATGACACAAATGTGTGGAATTATATCGAACTGTAACAAATCTAGAGTACAATAAATACTTATTATTAACAATAATGCAGTGTTTTTGCATTATTTTTAAAATTCAGTGATTTTAAATTTTGTTCCACCAGCATAGTCATGTCGTAGACTATCTGTACGAAACTTCATAACGAACGGATTCAATGAAGGACCTCTACGAATTTCGAATTTACGTTCGTAGCCATTTGGATTCCGTGATAGCACTTTCGTAGATTTCACGAAAATCTAATCTACAATGGATTCTGTGATAACCCTGAATACATTTTTATAACTTTGTTACTGCTTTTTTATATGCAGTATATTTTGCTTTGCTGCCTTTATGCTTAAGTTTATGGGTCCCGGTCCCCCGGAGGAGTGCCCCTGTAGTCCTCCGAATAGTCGACCATTTCTTTCCTGATTTCTGGGGAAGGATCTTTGATTGTTCGTATTATAGTTATTAGTCTGTCTGTCATTTGAATAATTTCTCTGATTATTGCTATAGCTGTTGGCTCTTGAATTGTTTGAGCTCCTATTCGTATTATGGTAGTTATTGCTTTGTCTATGGTTAGGAATGTTTCTTGTATTATTATGTGGTCCTCTGTTATTACTACAGGTATTACTGTAATTATACCTGTTACTAGATTGGCAGTTACTGTAGCTGTTCGAGTTTCGCCTGTAAGAGTTATTGGGATTATTTGTGTAGTTGTTGTTTCTGTAATTGTTTCTCATAGACATAACGTTCCTGCTGTCGTGTTGATTTCCTTGTTCTATCTCTAGTGCGAGTTCAGTAGCGGTATCGAAAGATGTGGGTAGTGCCGCAATTACTGTTTGTTTGAGTTTGTCATTTAGTCCGTTTTTAAATATTGTTATACTGTATTGCTCATTGAGTTTAGTGATTAATGATTTTTTCCCCATTTGCAATGTGTTCAATTCATATATCAAATGTAAAATTTTATTTTTGAAGTTAGTGACACTTGAATTTTTTTGTGTAAGATTGGCAAGTTGGTTTTGTATGGGTGGTATAGTTGTTGTGCTTTTATATTTATTACTTAATGACGCTTTTAATTCCTTTAATGTTTGTGGTGTTTCTATTGCAGTCACGTTTGTCTTCAACGTTTGACTTAGTTTCACGTAAACTACAAAATCTATCACCTTTTTACCTCTTTCAGTTAGACCGTATACATTATTTCGATAATTTTTAGAAATGCTTCCAAGTCTTTATGATTTCCGGAAAAAGTCAGAATAGCTTTCATAGCTGTCTCTAAACTAAACTCAGACATCTTGTTTTTGTTATTAATAATATTTTTATTGAGCTTTGTACCACGATTGTTTATTAGGAAAAATTGAAAGAGCAACAAAGTCTAAGCGGTAGAAGTTATAACAGCTATTTCGGAGAGCACCACACTCCTCATCAGACTTCTTTTTTCTAGACTTCAGCAGGAAGTCTGCTTAATATTTTTTTATTCTGTTTTAATTCTTGGTATATGTATATATATTTGTTGCTTGGTGGAAATTTATGTAATTTTGTTTTTCACAAATTGTATTTATGATTAAGAAATACATAAATAATTTTACTAATAAGCTAAGACCCTAATATTATATTTTTTATTACATCAACAAGTTTTAAATACATGTTTGCCATATTTAATTTTAGCCAAAGTTAGTGGTTTGATTATCGTTTTGACTCTTTGCTAATTTCGAAAATTTCGTTACCTGGGTAGTGTATGGATGAAACCACATTTGCTTATAAATAGCCTCGAAAAATATTACTAACATTAATGCAATAAATTATGAGCAATGCTTTCGGCCGAATGTTTTTTATTTAGTTTTGTTTGATTCTATTCTCGCTTCCTGTCAGTTTACTTTTTTGTTTTTTGTATCCTCCTAGCTTTAGTTTATTATTATCGTGCATATAATATGTTCATATGCATTTTTTGTGATTGAATTTGTATGTATTTATACATAGTTTAAACCTAATTTAGAATTGAACCCAATTTGCATGTGTTGTATTCTGCACGTGTTGAGTCATAGACTGTGGTGACCTGTGAATGCACTTTATCGCCGTTTTTGAACTGTCGGCAGTTGTGGATGTTGGCACGATTTTTCTAACTTCGCCTGGCGTGGAGGCAAAATACTAGTCCCTCGAACCATATTTTTTTGTTAAACTCTAAGCAACACTCGAAAATCGATACAGGATATTACCATATTTTTGGTAGGATATTAAAAAGTTTGCTTGTCTTAATCAGACTAGAACGATAGCCATATGTTGGCGATCTTAATAGACTAGAAGGATCGTCATGTGCTGCATTCCAAATTTGCAAAGCAACCAATCAAAACCCGGTGCATAACGGGTAGCGGAAATATTCTGCTTGTAAAGTGGAGGCGTCGCCTAAATGCAGCGGGCAATGCACTAGGCTGTTCTGTTTACAATGTTTAACTGCTTAGTCAGCGATAATGGAATGTGTGTCAACGGGTAATGTTTATGCTGTTATGACTCACTACACTAGCTCCAAAAGCACCAAAATGGCAACACTGAATATGAAGCCTTGAAGCAGAGGGTGATTAGAAAATTTGGAGAGTTAAACGAAAAGCTGTTCAACGTTTGCTCGCAGGGTTGAATTGGGCGAAAAAAACATCGACCTTACTACAAACAATATTTGGACAAAGAAATTTTAAAATCTGTATGGCTACGAGGTTTATCAATTCATGCACAACAAATTTTTGCGATTGGCGATGAAGGCCGAGAACTTTATCGAAATACCGACACTAAATAGCATACTAACGCAGTCAATGCAATAACTGACAATGCAGCCATCGTCTGGTGCACGTAATCGTTCGACTTGGCCAACAAGCGATGGTTTCTGTTGGTACCACAGCACTTTCGATGACAAAGCAACTAGGTGTGGATCGCCATTCACCTACGCTAGTTGGCACGTGAAAAACTAGTCAGTCTCCGGTTCAAAGAGGCTACCGCGGATGCTGACAAAAGACGCACCGAATTGGACCTGGTCCTCCGCCGGACATTCTCCTGGGTATTTATTGTCGCCGATGTCGCGCACCCTATACTGGGTGCTGAATTTTTGCAACACTACAACATTTTGGTGGATGTCAAAAATAAAGTAATGATCGATAAAACAACGAACGTTCAAACTATTTGTCAGATAATGAATCCAATATATAAAATTATTTCGGTAAGAGGAGACAACATATTTCACCAAATTTTACCACGTTACTTGTCAATTTTTATTGTGGCGTATTAATATTTATTACAATAGTATTATTGAACTTTGTACCACCATTTGTTTATTAGGAAAAATGGAAAAAGCAACAAAGTCTAGGCTGTAGAAGTTATAGCTGCTACTTCGGAGATCACCACATCTCCTCATTAGACTTCCTTTTTCTACATTTCAGCAGGGATTCGGCATCATCGTTGTGCAAAGCCCGAAGCGCTAACCACTGAGCTAAGCACACTCCGAAACTCTTGTTGCTAATGTATTTCCTTATTCAACCTACTACTATCAAGTGCAGCTGATCTTTCGCTATTTAAACTTGGCAGCGTGGTTGTTATTGTTAATTCTATACATGGAATAGATCCACAGTATAGTTTCAGGCAGGCTCATCCCAAACTATTTATTTGTCAATTTATATTGTCCAGTATTAATATTTATTTCAATAGTGTTATTGAGCTTTGTACCACGATTTGTTTATTACGAAAAATGGATAAAGCAACAAAATCTACGTGGAAGAAGTTACAGCTGCTATTTCGGAGATCACCACATCTCCTCATCAGACTTATTTTTTCTAGACTTCAGCAGGGATCGAACCCGCATCATCGATGTGCAAAGACATAAACGTTAACCACTGAGCTGTGCCCACGCCGTAAACTCTTGTTGCTAATTCATTTCCTTATTCAACCTACTACTATCAAGTGCAGCTGATTTGCCGCTATTTAAACTTCACGACATGGTTGTTATTGTTAATTCTATACATCCATAGTATAGTTTTAGGCAGGCTCAACCCAAACGTTACTCCGACCTCACCAATAACTCGACTGGGTTAAAGACACCCCTAACGGCGGTTCAGCACTTACTAGAAACGAGAGGAGCTCCGTTAGTGCAGAAAGTACGTCACCATTTCCCTGAGAAGCTGGAAATCGCTAAAGAAGTTTGAGTATTTGTTGGAGCGCGGAATTTGTCAACGCTCGAAGAGCCAATGGACAAGTCCGTTGCATACGGTACAGAAATCTTACAGCTCCTGGCACCCATGTGGTAATTACTGACAATTAAATGCAAACACAATTTCAGCCAAGTACCCCGTTCGTCGCATTCATGACTTAGGAGGCGACCTACATGGTAAGACAATTTTTTATGTTGTCCATTGTAAGAAAGCGTACCATCAGATCCCGGTGCATTCAGCTGATGTGCCAAAGACAGCCACACTAACCCCGGCGGCGCTTTTTGAGTTTAAGTATATGACGTTTGGCCTCAGCAACGCTGCCCAAAGTTTCACAATTTATCTATGAAACGGTCAAGGGGCTAACGTTTGTTTTCCCATATCTCGACGATGCACAATGTTTCGCCTATATGGAGGCAGGTGGAAATAATACCTAACATGTACCGATTTCACTTACACTTCTCATGTTGTCTAACTTTTTTTAGGAATATGGAATTACGAAACTTGGTAAAGGTGCGACAATTGCCACGGCCTCCACTCATGTTGGCGGAAACATTAATTTTTCCACCGATTTCGATGAAATTTAGTTTGTTATTAGCAGGGAACGAATTTTATGGAAATTGCTTTTTTTCTGCTAAAGAGATAGAGTATATTTGATTAAGAATGTCCACGATTTAGCTTTTCCAGATTCCATATATACTTATTTGATCTTGTTTTCGCATATTTGCATTTTTTTGCTCATCAATTTAAAATTTTAAACCGAATTTTCGCCTGTGCCATGCCGTGCTTTTTATGCAGAATTTTTGCTATTTCTTAATTGTTGTTCTCGAAAGAAAATACTGTGGCGTAAATAACTTATAAAATTTTGCGAAAACTCAAAATTTTTCTTAATAAAAAAAACACTTACATTGCATGTGAAATATCACGAAGAAAAACGTGAAATTTTCAGCGGATTGTGGACTTTTTTGACAGAACACAATAAGTACATTTGGAAAACTTTATTTTTTTAATGAATTTTAAATTTTGGTGAACAGCAGCTAACTGAAGTATTTTTCTTGTATTTTACTAAACTACGTGTTATACCAAATTTAACGAAGAATTTGAAGAAAATACATACATATACATGCTTTCGACAAATGTAACAAAACTTAACGAGTATAGAGATTCGCTTATAGGTTCGTAAAATAATATTTTATTACACGTCAAGAGTCATAGCGAAACGTGTGAGTTTGGTGAAGAAAAGGTAAAGTTAACAAGAATCCGTTAAGGAAGTCTTTTATTGAATTGAATGGTCAGATTAAAACTCCACTGGAGCCTCTAGTGTTCATTTGCAAATCAGATTTTGTTGACTCTGAGTCCGACGCAAAATCATAAGCTTCAGTAAGTTTTTCTATTAGAATAAGCGTCAAGAATACAGCATCACAGATTCGCTGAGTGTAGTAGAGATTCCAGCAGCTGCTACTAGTGCACCTAATTTTTCAGTGTATTCAGACAAATAAATTTTGTTAGTGGCATCAAATCTGCTCTACGCAATAGAATTAAACCTGAAAACTCGAAAATTGTGGCAGGGAAGTTAGCAGCGTTACACGTTAACAACAACAATTATTCAGACTTTGCCAAACGCGTTGAAGAATCATCCGATTCACTTGAGCGGTCGTTAATTATAGAAGGAATAACTCAAGAAAAGGTTCACGAAATGGCGATTGAGCAAACTAATATTTAACGAGTGTCGGGTAAACGCCAAGTCAGACTTAGTAAAATCAATTTAAGCTTCAACAAAATTTTCCGATTTCAAAAATGTAGTTGCAAAATTAATCGTAGAGCAGAATGACGAGGTGAAAGAGCGTCAGGTTTTGACTTTCCCATCGCGTGGTAGTAATACATTTAGAAATTCTCGTGGTGGCTATAGTGGGACTAACCCCACTCGCAATTATACAGGTTATAGAACTAACAGGTCATTTTCTTCTAATATTTAATAATAATAATAACATTAGCTAATCGAGCACTACGTGAATATCCCCTCTAGCGATTTCCAGTAGTTGGTAACAGTGTTGCCGCGCCGTCTCAAGAAAATGTATCCCTGACCAAGCCAAAAATGTATCCAAATGTATCCAATTTTCTCTTTTTACATATACATCTCATAATTTGTAAGAAAACCAAACATTTTCATGAAAAAGACATAATTTAACCCATCTTAAGGACTTGGAATACAAGTACCCCGTTCGTCGCATCTATCTGTCAACCTAAATTTTGTGGTTTAGGTTTTAGTTTGCGCTACAATTTCATTATACTGAAATGCAGTGCAACGCGGATGTGTTTTTCGTAACTATATAAAAAGTTTTAAATGTGATTATTTTATCAATGGAAAATAATGTTAAGGGTATGGTATGTACCATTGACTGTAACAGCCGGTTTTACCAGCAAATTAAATGGAAAATGATTTTTTTCTATCGATTTCCATATAAAATTCAAAAAATTAAAATCATTTTTCACTTCAATTGCTTTCGTGAAATTGGCTGTGACAATTGTGGTTTTAAATAACATTTGTATTTTTGAAAACTTCATGCCCGGTGGTACCAATCAATTTTTAATTTATCAGCCTGTTAAAATTTAAAATTATCCAATAAAATGAAACATTTGTAATTTCAATTTATAAAGTACATTTTTTGTGCATAAGTATTTTGCAAAGCAAATATAATAAATAGCAAGTACACTCCAAAAAGAGCATGTAAAACTACTACTGAAAAGTATCTATTTTTCAACAAGAATCTGTATAAATATACGTATAAGATGTTCAGTATTTGATTTTGAACTTGAGATCTTTAAAATATACACATAAATACACATATATAGAATGTTTAAAATTGCAAAAATTTTCAAACTACAAATACAAAGTGCAAAGTGCGTTATGTAAAATTTTTTTGATTCTTAGTTTTTGGCGGATTACGTACCAGTATTTAAAGTAGTTTCATGTCCACTAACAACAGAGTGCAAAATCTTTTTATATTCTGAAAAAATAGCATCAAATGTTAAGTCTTCTTCCAAAAGTCGCTATCATACTTATTTATGAACTTTCAAAAGTATCAATCTTCTGATGAACTAGAAAGCTGCTTTAGGTCATATAGACTGTTAATGTTATCTTATGACATGTTATGTTATGTTAGAATTTTATGAGGCTCCTATTTATCCAAATTTTCAGATAATAATAAAAAAGATTCAATTTAAATGTTACTTGTTGTCGTAGTCGCTTTTTCAAATTTATGGCGTTCTATTATAAAATCACATAACGCTGTTTGCAAGTGGACTACTCATTTCCTACTAATAATAAACATTACTTTATTTTAAACATGTTATGTGTAATTTTGCTCTTGCGACAAATTTGGTATGTAAGAGTAAACAGGCAATGATTAATTTTATTACACGGCGTGCGAATTTGCACACATTAAAAGAGGAAACTGGTTACCTCTCTTAATATGCGCAAATAAACAAAAAAATTTTAAAGTGTATTTAAAGTCTTTTCAGTAAAATTCATAAAAGTCTCCTTAAATAAATCAAAGTTAGTTTTTTAAACTTCTTTCTTTTTAAATTAACAAATGAAAATATGTGATATGAAAGAGATTACTACAGAAAGAGTATAATTTTCTTTATATACATATGTATATCGTCGTTTAAAGTACAAAACCGCGTGTCGTCATTCTGCAAAACCGCGTAACTGACATTTGCTGCCAAAAATTGGATTGGTGTTCATTCATTCAGTTTCTAACCAAACGCATGAAATGATTTCATGAATTGGCCTACGCATAATGGTAGTAAATGACAGAATGAATTACAACAAACACATCCCTTAACATAATGCAAACCGAAAACGTTGGTTCAAATCAATCCGCAATCAAGTTGGAAGTTTTGCCCAGTCTCATTGTTAAATCTCATTTTTCCAATTTCATAGTTTCGGTTTACATTTATAAAATTCAACGAAAGCACGTACCTATTTCGGCTGAGTTATCCATTTTCGGTTATTTAGTGTACAAAATAAACGCAAATTAAACGAGTTTGTACAACATGGCCATTCATGTAGCGATAAGTTGTACAACTTGTCAGAAAATCCAAATTGTTTGTTCTTTCATACAACCAAGACATAAATTCATTCAACAGGCCCACAAACGGTGCAATCTAGAGCAAAACAACACCAAGTTGAACCAACGGTCGCTACGTTTATGGCTTTCTTTAAGAAACATAGGGCGAAATTTTCAACTGCTCCTGTAACACTACCTTATATAAGTTGGCCTTGCTATCATCCTCACTTATGTTCATCAGAGTATACCAACGAAGGACGAGTTAATACAAGGAGATAGCGAGAGCACAAAACTACTCTAGAAAATTACACGCACAATGACAAACTTGAACAAATGTACAACAAACACTTAATTTTTGACAATCAGTACAGTTCGCATGTATATCAACGAGCAGCTTATTAGATTTGTTTTCGTTTGTACTACATATGTATGTGCACATATGTACATACACAAACATATGTACATACATACAAATATATATACAACCATTCAAACATATGTACATACATGAAAACATTGCTGTCCATAAGTACATACATACCAGTACCAGAGAGCAGCTTTTC